ATATATATATATATATATATATATATATATATATATATATATATATATATATATATATATATAATAATAATAATAATAATAATAATAATAAGATGACGTCGATAAGCTACCACCTTATGGTTGACTTAATGCTCACAATCATTGATTGATAATAATAAAAAAAAATTCTCCTCCTAATCGTTCCCAAAAAAAATAAATAAAACAATGCCTTCAGGTATATTACGAAAAGCTTGCTCCGAGTCCCGATCAAGATAGGATTTTTTGGATATTCATAAACTTAATCTTGATTTCTTAGGGAGTTTGGGATATAAAGTATAGAAAATAATTATTGAACTTTTTTCAAGAATAATCGACTTTCACTCACAGGAATCATAAGCATGATTTATTCGGTTTTAGAGTTATTCAAAAATTAACTTTTTTTTATTCAGTGAAAATGTTTTATTTGTAATTTAAATATCACAAATGAGATCATGGATGATATCAATTCGATAGCTTTCTTTAAGCTCTCCATGGATTAGAAAAAGGGTACAAATGATGATGCAGTTCGAACGCATTGTCACATGGAATAAAATAATCTTTTTCGTATTTTGAAGTTGGATAATATTAAATTATTGGATCACTCAATTCAACTCAATTTAGTTAGATTTTATTTAATTATAATTATATTTGAGAAATCTCAACAAAATAAAATATCATGATATTCAAATATGTTGTCGCATTGAACAAATCTCACCTATAAGTATTTATTTTATAGATCAAAACCTTTGCATATTCCTTTAAAAGTTCAAAATCCACTTCAAACTCTAATTCATGTTGTTATACTTTGAAACTCAGATATATTATATTTTCATATAATTATTTAACTTAAAACAAACTAAAGCTAATCACGATTAAGAATGGTTAACTTTGGTTTTTTTTAATGCGATTATCACATACGAGAGGATCTTAATCTTTAGATAGGTACGAACATACGTTATATTGAAAATTGTAATGACAAATATTTCATTTTCAAATTACGCAAGTATAAAATATAAAAAACCATTTAAAAATTATACAAGTGTACCATTTTTTTTTTCAAATTACATAATAATTTTACGATACGACAAATAGTTAATTTGTTTAACTTATATATATATATAATTAATTAATTAATTCCACATGATTGATGGTAGCTATTAGCTACAAGCTACACACTGCTAAAATCAAATAGCATACATCTAGAAGGCATTGCATTGACTCGTCTTTTTTTCTTTTTTTTACTTTTCTTCGACATGACATTTCACTGAAATTGACAAGAGTGATTTTAAAAACAATAATTTATCAAGAGAAGTCATTACTAATTGATATTTATCGGATGAGATGTTTTTTTTTATAAATATCAATTTTATCTTCCTATTCAAATTATTATTATTATTTTTATTTTTGAACTTATTCACTAAGCTGATTCGAATTAGTTAACCGATTCAACAAATCGATTTGGGTCCATGAATTCGTCAACCCTATCTCTTCCCTCCTTCACCTCCATCTCTTCTTACTCCTTCTCCCCTCTTTCTCAATTTATGATAGTCGAGGGGCAAGGCAAATATAAGACAGACAATTATATCGTTCAACTACTTTAGTAGAGGGGTGACGATAATGAAAACAATTATAATGACATGTTAGAAATAATTCTCTTCGTTGCTTTCTCTCCCCTTATTCTATAAACATGTTATTATACTTAATTAATCCTTATATTTTCCTCCTCCCACCTCTCCTCTTCCTCACCGTGTGTGGAGGGGGCAATGACTTAGGAGATAATCATTCCATGTTACTATACTTAATTAACTATTATAATAGATCTAACATCATGTTATTACAACAGATCTAACTAGTATAACATCATGTCATAATTTTATCTGAGTATGCAGCACAATCATAGTAATAAATAATATTTTATCTTGTAAAAGTCAACTGATAACTACAGTGATATAACACAATGTTAGCTTGCAATGGACGATCACAATAATATAATAGTTTACCTTATCTTATGGATGACAGCCAAAACAATAAATTTTATTAGTCTATAAAATGCAAAAAAATTATGCAATATGTAATATTATGGAATATCTATATTTGCAGTTAAAGTACTTTCAGAAAATACTGTATGATTCTCTTATTAGTTATATTAATTATACAAAATTTACAATACTTGATACTCAAGTACACATAACTTCGTATACAAATTAATGAAGGGTAATCTTATATAGGTTTATCATAGCATCATATCATCAAAATATTACAAACTAATTAATCATCGCTCTTTTCAATGTGCAACGCCTACTTGGGGGTAATTAATGATTTACTCGGCTAGGATACATTACAAACATAGAAATTCTTTAATCAGGATAGTTGCATCTGGTATCTAACGCTTAGCATGGTTAGATTGCTTCTTTTGGTTAGGGCACATTAGTATAAGGAGAGTTTTTGCCATAAAACCCCATCAAACATTTTACCATATTAGGATGCATTGAGTAAAAGGATTTACTTCGACTACGAAAGCCACATTGAATGCATCAAATAGTTTGTTGATTAGAATATATCCAGCAAAGGATATATTTTAAGTCAAGGCTCATCCAATTTAAAAATGACAAGATCCATTAGAATAAATTGACAGTACCTTTATAAATAGGAGAGAATAAAAAAGTCACAGGCTATACATTTTTTACTGTCACCTCATATTATCTTCTCCCCTTCTCCTCATCAATCTATAGCCCATATCTGAGGCATGTGGACAGTAAGAAGGGGCAATCATTTCTTGATTGCGTAGTATGTGTGAGGAAAAGATTTGGACAGCGATTTGAGGAACATCTTTGCAGCCCTTGTCATGTTGATCATCGTTAGAGAAGAGGATAGTTGATCTCCTTCATCCTCTCCCATAGGTCTACAAGTTTTCAGGGATATATGATCTCCTTAAGTAACACATCTTTCTTATATGTGTAGTTTTCGATTTTAAGGGTTTTAGCATACCAATCTTTACACGATGATAAAACCTTATTTTCTATTGAAAAATTCTAAGATTTTATTTTTTATTCTTCCACTACGCATGTGATGTCATCTCATATTTCCCAATATCGATGAGTTGAGTGAATTATCATGGGAAGATGATTCATTGAATCATAAGGAGTTTTGACTGTTGAATCTCGTATTTTGATGATGAAACTACTTGATATATGTTTATGATTTAATCTGCGTTTTGAGTGACGCAGGATGCCTCGATCAGGATGAGACAATTAAAGCAGGAAAATCATGTTGTGCCGGAGGAACATGTCAGAAGATTGGACATCGGGCCGGTGGATCGGTTGACGTATCGACAGAAGGCTTCGGGCCGTGGACTCGGGCATCGGGCCAAGAAGAGCGGGTATTGTGCCAAGGATATCGGAGTTGCGGAGCCAACTGGCCGATTAGGCAATAGGCCGTAGGAAAGGACGATGCGCCGAAGAATCGGACAAAGCGTCGAGGGACCAATGACATGCCGGACAACTTGGTTAATTGCTTAGGATTAATTGTCTCGATCGAAGTTTTTGTTTTGAGTGTGCAGGATTAACTACGATGGAAGAAAGACATGCAGCAGGAGTTGCGCCGGAGTCAAGACAATGATCACGTTGGGAGTTCGAGAGCTTGACGGAAGTTCGGACAGTCGCCGGAGGTTCTACGGGAACAAATCCGAGAAGTCCAGAAGCTTGCCAAAGGAGCTCGTCGGAACTTGCCAAGTGGATCATCGCAAGTCCAGGAGTTTGCCGGAAGTCCGCAGGAGGATCACCGAGGGTTCGTCGGATGATCGACGGAAGTTCACCGGAAACTTGCCGGAAGAAGCGATTGACGCACCGGAGCAAGCTGCAGAATATGTCTTATGAAATAATCGTAGTTAGCACATTGATTAAGTTAGAAATGGGAGGTGATCCCATTAGCTTAATCTTGGGGCAATTGGGCCCCTGAAAGAATCAAATTGGGCCGAATGGATTAACCCATTCGGACCCTGATTGCTGTGGGAGGTGCAACTGCCCAAGCCAGGAGGTAGCACCGCCCAGACTATGCCTCCCATCGAGACTGGGCGGTGCAACCGCCCCAGCCAAGAGGTGGCACTGCCCCGGGCTCAGTCTCCTAGCGAGACTGGGCGGTGCAACCTCTTCTGCCAAGAGGTAGCACCGCCATAGCTCAAGTTTCGAGCTCTGCCAGGCGGTGCAACCTCCCCAGTCAGGCGGTGCAACCGCCTGAGCTCAGTCTTCGAGCTCTGGCAGAGAGGTGCAACCGCCCCTAACAGAGGTGGCACCGCCCAGAGGCTCAGTCTTCGAGCTCTGCCAGGCGGTGCAACCGCCCCAGTCAGGAGGTGCAACCGCCTGATCCCGGAATTCCGGGAATTGACAGATTTGAGCTCCAAATTTGAACTGGGTTGGGGCCTATAAATACCCCACCCATTCAGCATTGAAAGCATAGAACACACACTCGAAATCTTGCTGTCTTTCTGTGGTTCTTAGAGCTCAAAACTGCTAGTTCTCCTCTTTCTGTTCTTCAAAGTTTGAGTTGTAAAGAGAGGAGAGAAAACTTATGTAAGGGTTGTCTCCTAAGCCCGTCAAAAGGAGTGAATCTGTAAGAAGGTGGTTGGCCTTCGCCTATTGAAGGAAGGCCTCTAGTTGACGTCGGTGACCTCATCGGTGGAGGA